CTACATTCAAACTACATCTGCCGATATCAAAACGATCTAAAAAATGTTCAATAGTTTTCCTAGGACACCATTATGGCTTCTTATAGAATTTTTCCATTAGTATTCATCCGTTTTTCGCATATATAAACAACAAATAATCCGTAGAAATCGTCTGAAGCCGGAATGTAAGCAAAATACTTCTATCAACATGTGACCAGTTTTTACGAAAAACTAATTTTTAGGTCCATAAATCCTTGTTAAGAAGTACTATAGCCAAAAGGTAAAGTAAGCGAACCAGAAGAGAAATAACTGTTTTTAGTAATGCTGACTTTTTATTTACTGCCTTTTACAAGTTTTCTTGGCAAGATATTATTTGTGAAACAACCACAATGATGCTAAGATATTTGCAAAACTCCTGAACTGCAAAACTGCAAACAAAACACCTGCAAAACAGGTGCATGCGGTGGGGAACGAACGCGTTATTGTCCTTTCCGGTGAGTAATGCGTTCACCACCGCACTATACAGGTCCTTCGTTTTGTCTGTCTCTCAGCTAGTTCTGTTTTCAGTATAACTGAAAGAGAAGGAGATATGCACCCGAAGTAGGTAACGGTACAGGAGGTATCTGTACCGATGGGCCTCCAAAATTTGGACGTGGTGACAGTGGATTGAGCAAAAAGGGGTAAAACCCCTAAAATAGTGCGCATGTCTAGTTGGGAAGTTTATGTTCTTGTCACATATTGCTCACAAACTCATTTAGGCTCATTTATAGGGAAATATATCGATTCTTCATGCTGGACCTAAATGAACGTTCGTTTTCTAAAATGTATATATATATATATATATATATATATGCACAAGTATATGTATATATATATATACGTATATGCATGCATATATATATATATATATCGACGATCAACGGGACTACACGTGACAGGTGATATGTATATATGTATACGTGTATGCATATATGTATATGTTTATGTATATACGTACGTATGTATGTATATGTCTATGTATGCGTATATATGGGTATGTATATATGTATATGTATACGTATATATGTATATATGTTATGTATATGTTTATGTATACGCGTATGTATGTATATGTATATGTATATGTGTACGTATATATGTATATGTATATATGTCTGTGTATACATATATATGGATATCTATATATGTATGTATATATGTACACCTATATATGTGGATGCTTATATGTATATGTATATGTATATAAGTATATGTATATATGCGTAGATATGTTTATGTTTATATATATATATGTATATATATGCGTTTATATGTATATATATTATATGTATATATGTATATATGTATGTGTATATATGTATACGTATATATGTGTATGTACATATGTATATATGAATATGTATATTTGTATGTTATGTATATATGTTTACATGTATATGTATATATCTATATATATATGTACATGTATATGTATATATGCATGTGTATACGTATATATGTATATGTATATATGTATATGTACCTGTATATATGTATATGTATACGTATATATGTCTATGTATATACGTATGTTTATAAGTATATGTGTATGTATATGTAGAGAACCAAAACATTTCATATGCTTCTCCCAAGACCTCTATGACGATCTGATAGCTGTATGTCTAACATTGCGTTGGCGGTTATCTCATGAAAAACATCTGTAGTTACATTCCTATGCTTTGAATATCGCGTTATCAGATTCCACTGCTTGAGGAATGTTTCCAACACCTCTTAGTGGCAAACTATCTCTTTCTCTACTGTAGCTTGACTCGGCCCTGCTCAAGAGGTACATAAACGACTCCACGGTCAGCTACCTCAGGTCACAGCAATGCTGCCCAAGTCACGATGTCCTTTCCTCACGTCCATCTCATGTAATAGAAGTCATATAACAACCTCTTCACTCATAGGCAACCTGAGCACCAGTGATCAGGCTGCGTCTATTCATTACTTGTATAATTGTTGTATTAATTGTATGCTTCTATTGTTATGCCATAATTGTTGTATGATTATGGTGAAGTTTAATTACCTAAGTTTGAGGTGTCCGGTATTGTGACTGCCGCTTACATGAAGTTCCACGTGGCATACACAAAGGCGAGCAACTACTTTCGACAGAATCGTCTTAACTAATTGGTATCCCTACATCAACGAGCCGTCCCAAAAAATTTTTGTGCATCGGGCGGGAATCTAACACGGGTCGCCCGCGTGGCAGGCGACCGTTCTGCCACTGAACCATGCACGTACACCTGCATTGTAGTCCTCGATAGAAACTTGCTCATTCATGCAAGACGTATAAAGTACGTCACCGGCCTGTCCGAGACGAGAAGACGCCACCCATTCAACGCCGTCTATGACACCGGAGAAGAATTGTTTTTTGGAACATGCGACAATAGAAGAGTCGACGGTGTCGGCGTTCTCGTCAACACGAGTTTTTCCATGAACATTGATTCATTCGAACAACTAACAACCTGAATCGGACGTTTACGATTAGAAAGATGTGGATCGATTCCGGCTTTAACAATATTCGTCGTTTACGCGCCGACATCAAGCTATGACGAAGAAGTAGTCGAAGCGTTCTGTATAGACTTGGAGAAGTTCTACAGAGAAGACCACACATTCTTCAAGGTCATGGAGATTTCAACGTCAAGATTGGACCAAGAAGGACGTCACATTGGGACCCACGGATTAGAATGGAACGAACAGAGTGAGGGGCTATCTGAGTTTGTCATGGCGACCAAGACAATCCATGGTAACCCACAATTCCAGAAGGCCCACCCTCAGCGCTGGACGTGGGAGTCTCCCAATGGAGAGTATCATAACGAAATAGAAACATCATAGTAAATAGAAAGTTTTACCTAACCGATGTCGATAACATCGACGAAGAATGCGGTCGGCTCATTCAACATCTTCACGCTAGCGCTATGAAAGCTGAGAGTTCGAAAGTCACCAAGAGACGTTTGTCTCCAGAAGCCCTCGAGCTCTCGAGCTGATACACCAGCGTGGAATCGCACAATCTGCAGGCAACCGCGAACTAACGTCCGAAGTTGCAAAACAATGCAGATAGGCGATAAAAGAAGATCTTAAAGAGATAAGAGCAGCAGTAATGGTCGAAGCTGCAGAGGGTGGCAAACGCATTCGCAAAGCCCACCGAAGCTTTGCCAATTACTAGACCAAAATGATTGCAGTCCAGCACCCAGACAGAACGTCCAGAAGCGTTCAGAAAGGCAACGGAGAAAATCATTCCTAATCCTGATACTACTCAGATCTTTTCGATAGCCACGTCCACCTTCTGTCATATGAAATAGAGAAGGATGGACATGTTGTACCACCGGTTCTCACTTCCGAAATCCGACATGCCATTTCGGCGGAGAAAAATCGAACAGCACCAGGTCCAGACAGGACAAGACCAGATCACTTGGAGAACCTTCCGCCAGTCCTCGTAAACACACTGACTCGGCTGTTCACACGTTACCTGTCTGAATGCATGGTGTCTCAGTGGAAGACCAGCAAGACCGTGTTGTTGTTCAAGAAGAGTGACCTACACGATATCGGCAACTATCGTTCAATCTGCTTACTGTCTGTCGTCTACAAAATTTTCACTCTAAACAGGATCAGTAGAACACTAGACGAAGGATAGCCATGTGAGCAAGCAAGGTTTCGAAAACGATTTAGTACGATGGACCACAACTACACGATAACATGGCTCATTGAAGTATCGGGAGAGTACAGAAGACCGCTCTATCTCACTTTCATTGATTTACAGAGGGCCTTTGATTCAGTTGGGATAGAAGCAGTCTTGGAAGCCCTTTATCGTCAAGGAGTCTCTACTCAGTACATAAAGATTCTTCGTGAGCTGTACAAAAATTTCACAACCAAGGTATCACCATTCTACAACGATAATAGCATTGATGTCAAAAAAGGAGTTAGGCAAGGCGATACCATCTCGCCAAAATTATTTACCTCCACTCTCCAGAACGTATTGCGAACATTGGAATGGGATACGAGTGAAAATCGATAGTCGGCAGTTACACCATCTTCGCTTTCCTGATGACATGACACCAAACATTAGCCAAGCGGAACGTCTGCTTGACGACTTTGATAAAGCCTGTGGAAAGAATGGTCTTCGACTAAATCTCACAAAAACGATGTTCATGAAGAATGGATTGGTTTTGCATGCTCCGTTCACGCTCAACGGAACGAATATCTCCGAATGCTCCAGTTATATCTACCTAGCTCGGGAAATCAATATGATGAATGATCTAGCTCTAGAGCTGAGCAGAAGGAAACGAGCGGCTTGGGGAACATTCAAGAGCATCGAGGATGTAGTGAAGAGGACAAAGAACACCCAACTCCGTACCCACCTTTTCGACTCAACGGTACCTCTTGCCCTAACGTATGCGTCAAAAACCTAGTTGCTGCGTAAATAGGATGAAAAATCACTCAGCTTTATTGAACACGCAGTCGAAAGGACGATGCTAGGAGTATCCCGCTTCACACAAGTAAGGGAAGGGATCCGAAGCTCCGACCTGCGTGATCGATCAGGAACCAAAGATGCCGTTCTGTACGCCAAACAATCGAAGATGAGATGAGCTGGAAACGTAATGCGTATGAATGACAACCGAAGGACAAGAGCCGTTAGTGACTGGATTCCTCGATATGTCAAACGTACTGCAGGAAGACCACCAACCCGATGATCAGAGTTCTTCACAAAGAGACTTGAAGAAAGATATGGTGCTCGAGGAGTTCCTAGAGCGAACAGAACCCACTGGGCACTCTTGCACGCGACAAGGAAAAATGGAAGGTTTACTGGCACCCGCTCGAGTCACTCGACGATCAACGGGACTACAGGTGACAGGTGATATGTATATATGTATGTGTATACGTGTATGTATACGTATATGCATATGTGTGTTTGTATTATGTATATATGTATATGTATATGTTTGTGTATATATATGTATTTATGTATGTATTTGTGCGTATGTATGGTATGTATGTATGTATGTATGTGTCTATGATGCAAATAAGTGGCGTACGGCTTGCTGATCCTCCTGCGCACGAGAATAGCGGACCGTCTAGTCTTTTGTAACTACTTCGCTACGACATATCATGTTTGTCATACGGAATGAGCGGATATATAATAACTTTAATGCCCATAGAACGTTAGCCCAACTCTTGAAGTAAATAATCATTGAAATACTGCCGAGACTTATCGAAAAACTGGCACGCACGTTCCATGAAACATCAATTTGAACAAGCAAGTCGTTTTTACCTCATTTTCAGTTGCTGCGATAAATGTATGTATTCTGTGGAGTGGCAAGATATCAAATCCACAAAGTTAACATCGCAGTTTTCTTTACCAAGGAACGTTTGGGAAAAAACTGAACAATTGAAAAATAACCTCAGGAAACCGGTGTCCCGTGCATTTTGCAAGGGCTCATGGGCCGTAAATGTTAATTCCAATGCGCCACAATAACATGCGATTCGGTGAAGCTCACACGCGAAAATGGCGTCGTTCGTGAAAGAGTTAAGAATCAGTTTTTTTGAAACCTTAGTATGATTGGATTTTTACTTTTTGATTAATTTCTTTTTGCTTACTACATTTATCAAGCCATTGGTGCTTAAATATACTTTACTGGCAATGGTTGTATTAGGGAATATACAACGTGAAACTTGATTTTAACTATTCAGAAATTGCGACTTATTACCACTCATTTTGAACGAAAATAAAAAGTAAATAGATTGAATTTTTTACGTGTATCATGATGGCAGTAGTTAAGAAAGAAACTCTGGAATTTTGTTTAGCTATGGGAGTTACGGTATGTGCATCCTGACTATCACAAACTGCTCGAAGAAGAAGTCGAAGTGAAGCAAGCATGCCCAGATGTGTACGACTATCCACTTGTATCGGAAAGATTCTGCAAAGAAATCATTGAAGAAATGGAGCATTTCGGTAAATGGAGCGACGGAAGTAACAAGGTGGGAAGTTCCATGTGAGTGTTCACTTTGGTGTTGAAGGGAAGAACTTCAATTTTCAGGATGAACGGATAGCTGGTGGATATGAAAACGTCCCAACGAGAGATATTCATATGAATCAGGTATTCCAACATACCATTCTGCTATGTAGAATCTTGTTTAATTGAGAAAAAAAAGGTAAAAATGATAAAAAGGGTGGGAATGTGGTGTACTTTGATACTAGGAGCATCGAAGGCTAAATAGGATAGATGTTTCTTCATAACTCAGATTGGATTCGAACGTCATTGGTTGTTCTTCATGGATGAGTACGTGAGACCAATGCAAGAGAAAGTGTTCATCGGCTATTATCATAAGGTGTCACTATTTGTTATGTTCCACAACCTCGCGTGTTTCCGCATACCGTAATCATGAGTTTTGTGTTCTAGCCCATTGAATCGAATATGATGTTTGTGGTACGATATCGACCAGATGAGCAGTCTTCCCTACGACCTCATCACGACGCCAGCACGTTTAGGTATGCCCTAACTTCTGTTGAATTGACATTTTTGGACATGATATCACCAGAAGGGTCATACACATTCATTTTTCTCCTTATAAACGCTTAATTCAGTGTGTTTGCCTTTGATTTTCTGCCTTCTATAATTTTTATGGTAGGGTGTTAAGCGAAATACAACCACAAGATTGCCGAGATATTTGCAAAACTCCAAACTGTAGGTGTTTAGCTGAGAGATAGGAGAAACGAAGGGGCCGCATGATGTGGTGGTGAACGCGTTACTCCCCGGAAATGACAATAGCGCGTTCGTTTCCCACCACATACACCTGCGGTTCGGAGTTTTGCAAATATCTCAACAATCTTGTGTTTCTATCTTACTTAGTTTAGTGTTTTTTTTCTTCAGTATTGATATAGCACTAAACAAACGAGGAGTTGACTATGAGGGTGGAGGTGTGAGGTATACGAGGTATAACTGCACCGTTGCGGCTGACCAAGTCGGTATGGACTTTTCTGTCTTGAATTCTCGACTGCATTCTTATAAAAAAGAAAGGAAAGAAGTAGTGACATGGTTTTTTCGATCAGAAATTGTTTTCTTTCTACTGTCGTGCAAGTAGTCTTGTGTTTTTCATTAGTTTCATAAAATATTCAATTGTTGTTGCAACCTTATATACTACTTGGGTGCCTTGATGGCCCGTCTTCATTGCTTGTGCAGGACCCAGCATAATCTCCATTTTTTCGGAGTTTTGTTGGTTTAGCCGTTATGGTTCACTAGAGTCCTGGGGTTAGTCTAGCCAATGTCTGCTCCGGGTCGTCGCTACCACAGATAGTCTTCGCTCCTGTGGATCAGAGAGAGATTTGCCACGATGCGACTAGTTTGGTACCAGGACGGTGGCGTATCCTGGCATTGGTTTAGTCTTAGTTGGGTTTCCTGATGGATGCTCCGGACTCCTCAGCATGGGAGACCCTGACAGTGGATGAATCCCCCGCTATACATGACAACCCGATATCCAGAAACACCTCCCAGCCACGATGAGGCGGTAAACCATTGGGAGGTGTTGTAACTTTACAGGAATAAAAACTCCGAAAATGTTATTTAGGTAAGAAAACTCCAAAAACGAAAACGTAAAAGGACTATAATGGATAACAATGCTGATGTTGTTGGTGGATGCGCTTTATTTCAGGCTATGCTATGATGTTTCCCGGTCGTTTAACGCATCAGCATGAAGGCCTTCCAACCACCAAAGGAACCCGATACATTCTTGTCTCCTTTATCAATCCATGAAGAAAAAGTGACCATTCCATCACATAGGCATTAATTTTTTTTCTTGAAAAATCCTCCCACACTGCCGTGATTTTCATACACATTAATCGATGAACTCCGATCCCACTAAATCGAAACGGTCCTTCTCTCTCTCCCTCTTCTTCTCCCTCCCTCTCTCTTCGTCTCTCCCTCCTCTCTCTTTCTTTCTCTTTCTCTCTCTTTTTATGTATAAATATATGCTGCACTATTTCGAAAGTGGCTTTCCTTGAACCTCGGTGTGACTAAGCAATATATATTCTTTTTTTTCTTCTTTTCATATTCTTTTTTTTCTTCTTTTCTTTTCTTTTTCTTTCTTTCTTTCTTCAATATATATTCTTTCTTTGATGAGCTCACACTGCACCACTTCTTTGCTTTTGCTTATTAAAGGGCATCACCGAGTGAGTATGCCTCATTCGAGGAGATGGTCCGCCGAGAAAGACCTAACTCGACACGAAGGCGAAGCTGCCACGTCGAGACGAATAACAAGCGTGGACTATCAACTCGGATCATCGGCTCTGAGGAAGTCGAAAACGTCGAAACGTTAGCCGAAAATAAATATCATTATCATTCTCGTGTAAGCTCACCAAAGAAAGAATATATAAATATGCTGCACTTTTTGTGAGATAAATATATACCATAAACCATGAACGTAATTTAATTATAGCAGATGTCGATTTACGTCAATCACATGCTTTACTTTTATGGGTTCTTGCGGCTTTTTTGGTGTATAATTCACGTTTACGATTACGATGAAGAAAGTGCTTCATTTTCATGACGGGATTGTTTGTGCCTTTATTCAGAATAAATTCGAGCATAATACAGTGGTTTGTTTGATTATCAGGTTTTTTATGTTACAGTTTCGAAAAACGGCTTTCGAACTCATATGAAAACTATGTGGGCGTTAGGGATTCATGGATTTTGTAAATTCTATGAAATGGCGCTCAGCATGGACGACGGCGTGTGCGGAAATGAGTGGGTGCACTCCCAATCAGTGGTTTACAAAGGTTTTTAGCGTAATTCTTCGCATTCATTCAATAGTTTGCCTAATGTAGATCGAATTCCAGGAGCACCTCTTTAAAAACTGTTGTCTACACTTAATAATTTAAAAAAGAACTTCCGGACAATTTCATTGCTACTGGAGAGTGTGCAGCACAGACAGTACATTGCCAGTGGACAGGGCACAAGTGTGTCTATCTAAGCACTGGAATTCACCACTTGGAGAGAGCTTTTCGCTAAGATAAGACAAAAAATCAATGGTGGGACCTCTTCAAAGTGGCTGTGTTCACAAAGTACGCCCTCAACAAAGGAACTCAAGACAGAACTCAAGAGAGTCTAAGGTGGAAGCGCCAGTAATCGACCTCGGTCCGTTACTCTACTGTAGATATATATATACAAGTTTTAGGAAAAAGTGAGAAAGTAAAGAGTAACAAAAAGGGGAAGAGAAAAAGAAAAAGTAAAGTGAAAAGTTAAACA